ATAAATAAAAATAAAATGGTGACTTCTATGGGATGTGAATCACATCGAAAGAAAGAAAGAAAGAAAGAAAGAAAGAAAGAAAGAAAGAAAGAAAATCAAAACAAAAGTTCCACATAGAGGAAAATCAATCTTTTTCCCCCGGCTTATCCTGGAATAGTAACTTCGCTTTCTTTAAGTATCACTCATATTATGTTGAGGCTTATCATTGATTAGTCATTAGTATAAGGCTGGCAAAGTGTTACATTTTGCTCAACAAGTATCTATTATGAGGTATAGGGGAGCAGGGTCAGGGAAGAGACAAAAAAGGATTTCTAGAAATCAATAATGGAAAAACCAACCCCTAGATCTGAAGCCTTCTGCAGAGTCAGGGGTAACTACCTTGAGGTTGACTATGCACTTGGTAAACCGACGCTGTTAACTGCAACGTAACATTCTCTTCCCCAAATAAATATCTGGGGTCTCTTAAAAATAATAAAATTTTCGGGGCACCTGGGTGGCTCAGTGGGTTAAGCCGCTGCCTTCAGCTCAGGTCCTGATCTCAGGGTCCTGGGATCTAGTCCCACATCGGGCTCTCTGCTCAGCAGAGAGCCTGCTTCCCTCTCTCTCTCTCTGCCTGCCTCTCTGCCTGCCTCTCTGCCTACTTGTGATCTATCTCTGTCAAATAAATAAATAAAATCTTAAAAAAAAAAAATTAAAATTTTCAAGATTTTAAGAGGCTTCATTGGCTTCAGGTGACAAACAGATTCATTTGACAAAGAGATTCACAAGACTCTAGACCTTTAGGAATTCCTATTTTCATCAGATCTCCTCCAAGTCTTCAGCTCTACAAACATCCTCACAGTTTGGGTATATTTTAACTGGGCAGCCAACATCTCCATCACCCTGACCTTCCAGAAACTGGCTCTCTTATCACACCTTCCACACAAACAGAGAGCTCACACACAGCACCCATATCATGATTTTATATAAAAATAGGATCATATTGGGCTTAAAAGACTGGACTCAGTCAGTTAAGCTTCTGCCTTCAGCTCCGGTCAGGATCCCAGGGCAGGTCCCGCCTCCGGCTCCTTGCTCAGCAGGGAGCCTGCTTCTCCCTCCGCCTCTCCCCACAACCCCATTTGTGCTCTCAAGTTTTCTCTCTCTCTTGTAAAAATAGATAAAATCTTTAAAATATATACCATTAAAAAAAAATAGGACCATGCTTTCCATTTTATTTCTAATACCAGAAACTATATCACAATGTTTAGCAGGAAATATGACTATACTATGACTTATAAAATTAGCAACTTCAACTATCCCATAATCATCCCTGGCAATCCGGTAGTTTGTGCCTCTCTGTCCAGCAAAGCCACTTACGCCCGTTTTTTTGTTTATTTCCAAGACTATTGAATAGGCAAAAGGAAACCTTTCTTATATATGTGATGACTCAGAGTTCTTTCCAACAACGACCACAGGCATATCAAAATAAGGCTGATTTCCTTCTTCCATAAGTGAACATGCATTAAACTTTAGGCATAAATCAATATTGTGCATACGTCTAATGCCGGAAGAACTTGGCCCAAGGAGGCTGCCTTCACTTCCTTAGCTCCTTGTTGGAGGCTGTTTAAAGAGTCCCCTGGTAAATCAAATCAAACAACAGTCTCTCTGCCTCACGTGTGACTGTGACCTTCATTCTGATTCTAAGTAGAATTCAAACTGCGGCCTGACTTGGTGTCACCTCCAGCCCCCTCCTAAACTAAATCCACCCTAAAGGATAAGGATTTGCCACCCTGAAGGAATGTATTTCTCAGAAAATCAGAGGCGCTGAGAGCAATTCTAAATGAGGAGTTTCAAAAATGTTAAGTTAAAAACCTCTGCTGACGATGACTGAAACTATAAACTTGGTTGGCGGTGTGAATTTTGGTCTTTGTTAATGATTAAGTGAAGACAGTGTATGATTACACATACAATGTGAACGTATGAAAATTTTGAACATGTGAATAGAGACAGGGTCTAGTAAAAACGAAAAGCAACATTGCATGAAAGTGGATGATCTCTCAAGACTTTAAGTTATTGTTACACTGTAATTAAATACAAAAGAAGAAACATCATTCACTTTAATTGATAGCTACTCTCATCCCACACAATGCTCCAATACCTTAATCGTCTGCCACAACTCCCACATCCCCCTCTAGGTCACAGCCTCTGACCCCGGGCCAGTCTTCATGGATGAAGAGGAGTTATCTTAACCCAGAGGACATCAGCAAGCAGCTGCCCACAGAGAGGCTCAGCTGACTCTTCTCTACCCAGTCACACAGCTTTGCAGGGGCTCTGCCCTCTCTCAGCGTGGGAGCTCACCAAACAAGGCTAAGTGTCATTACAGTGGACCATTTATAAAAATAGCAGCCTCAACTAATCCCTGCGCTAATCCCTGTCATCTAGTAGCTTGTGCCTCTCTGTACAGCACGGCCGCGTACACCTCCTTTTGTTTCTTATTTTTTTTTTAATTTTTTTATTATTTAAAAAAAATTTTTTTAAGATTTTATTTATTTATTTGACAGAGAGAGAGATCACAAGTAGGCAGAGAGGCAGGCAGAGAGAGAAGGGGGGGAAGCAGGCTCCCTGCTGAGCAGAGAGCCCGATGTGGGGCTTGATCCCAGGACCCTGAGATCATGACCTGAGCCGAAGGCAGAGGCTGAACCCACTGAGCCCACCCAGGGGCCCCCTTGTTTCTTATTTCCAAGACAATTCAATAAGCAGAATAAAACATTTTTTTAAAGATTTTTATTTATTTATTTGACAGAGAGAGAGAGCACGCGCAAAAGAGGAAACACAAACAGGGGAGTGGGAGAGGGAGAAGCAGGCTCCCGCTGAGCAGGGAGCCCAATGTGGAGCTCGATCCAGGGACCCTGGGATCATGACCTGAGCTGAAGGCAGATGCTTAATGACTGAGCCATCCAGGTGCCCCCAGAATAAAACATGTTTAAAATATACGAAGACACCAACAACAAGCGTCACTAAGTGCTTATGATGGCAGCTTTGGGCGAAATCCGTCTCTGAGACACTGAGAATGGCTATTCAAACCTAGACCTCGCTGACTCCAGGATCTGCATCTTTGGCCACTAGTCTCTGAAAATAATGATAATTTTGACTTCTTAAAGTGTATGTATACAAGAAGTCTCATTTAAGCTTTTGAACGTGGCTGTAAAGAATGTAGGTGGCAAAGACCTTGAGATGCGAAGGGGTAGGGTAAACTGCCCAGGCCCTCCCAGCTAGGGACAGGAACAGTGCTAGAACCCAGGACGGCCAACCACATCCGTAACCTTGCCACCGGCTCCAAGTGGCCTTGGAGTCGAAATAAACCATCTGGGAGTAGTTTTTGCCAATGGTTTCCTAGGCAATGAGATAGAAGAAAAGGAGGAAAATCAAAGGAATTTGGAAATAGGCTACCTTCCCTCAAAATGTGATACTTTCTAATTTAAGCACATGCATATCCACTTTTTGACCTCACCACAATTCCAATATGTAGAGTATTATATTTAAAACATGGTGAACTAGAAAAAGTCATGAGTTTTGTTGTTGCAACAAGCTGGGGTGGAATCAGAGTCACCATTTCTTTTTCTTTTTTTTTTTTTTAAAGATTTATTTATTTATTTATTTGAGAGTGATAGAATGAGAGAGAGCCTGAGAGGGGAGAGGTCAGAGGGAGAAGCAGACTCTCCTCCAGCCGGGAGCCCAATGCAGGACTTGATCCCAGGACTCCAGGATCATGACCTGAGCCGAAGGCAGTCGCTCAACTGACTGAGCCACCCAGGTGCCCCCAGAGTCACCATTTCTAACTGGCAGACCTTGAGCAGGTTCCTTGTCATGTAAAATGGTCTTAGCTACCTAGGAGTAAGCCAGGCATTCAGCACATAGTAGGTATACAAAATCCGTTAGTTTCCTCATATCACACCAATGCTAGGGCTCGCATGGGCTCTAGGGTCATAAAACAAAATAACTCTGTTCTGAAAGTCTGTCCCTTCAGAATGCCATGGACTCCAGTGGAATTTGCTGACAAGGAAAAATACATTTTCCTGGAAGCAGCACCTTCCTGAGAAACGTGCATTAACTAGGGAGTAAACCTAGCAGTGTCCTCCCACGAAAGGCCATGACGTCATTCATAAGAGCCAAAAAGTAGCAACAACTCAAGTGTCCACTGATGGATGAACAGACCAACAAAATACAGTAAACGCACACAAGGGAGTTTTATTCAGCCTTAAAAAGGAAGCAGATCTGACACACGCGACAACATGGATGAACCTTGAAGACATTTCTGAGTAAAACAGGCTGACACAAAAGTAAAAGTATTGTATGAGTCCAATTACTATCACTTATATGGGCTCCCTGAGTAGTCAAACTCATCACGGCAGAAAGTAGAATGGTGGCTGCGGGAGGGAGGATGGGGTTAGAAGCTAGAAGTAGTGTTCAGGGACACCTGGCTGGCTCAGGCTGTTAAGCCTACGCCTCTTGATTTCCTTGATTTTGGCCCATTTGGTCCAGATCATGATCTCAGGATCATGGGGGGGGGGGGCTCCTGCTCAGCAGGGAGTCTGCTTCTCTCCCTCTCCCCCTGCCCTTCCCCCTGCTCCCTCTGTCCTACCCCCCCCCAACATGAGCTTCTCTCTCTCTCAAGTGAATGAAGAAAAAAAAAAAAAAGAACGAGTGTTAGTGGGCACAGAGTTTCAGGCTGGGATAATGAAAAAGTTTTGGAGACAGACAGTGGTGATAGACATGGTGAATGTATTTAATGCCATTGAACTATATACCTTAAAACGGTTAAAATGCTCAATTTTATGTTATATATATTCTACCTCAATCAAACAGATAGCAAAGATCCCGCTCTGTCCACAGGGGCCTTGTACTTACTCTGCCTCCTGGGGCCTGGGCGAGGCCTTGCCCTTTCCCTCTGCGGGCTCAGCTCTGAGCCTGCCCCGGCTCACCTGCCCATCATTAGCCCACCCCCTCCTCATGGCGCTCACCAGGCCGCAGGTTCAGGGCAATCTTCTGTGGCGTCATCTGAATGACATCTGAGCTGGTGGGACTGGAGCCCTTGCTGCTGAGAGGCAGGCTCCGCAAGACCTGGGTGCTGCTGGCGGGGCTCTCAAACTCACCCCCGCAGCCGTTTCTGGCCAGGTTTGCCTTCAAGTCACAGCGGGAGATGACGGAGCGCAGGCTACCGAAGTCCTAGATGCAGCAACAAAGGAAGAGGGCAGAGAACGGTCAGGCTATCTTTCCAGAGCACCTCAGGGAGTGGACCCAACAGCACCTAGTGCCTGTACCCCAAACACTCCGCACTCCATTTTCATTGTCAGAAAGTGGTGAAACCAATCACACATACCCCAAAATGCTCACTAGGATTATGAGGGTTAATGAAGGTACTGGATACGAAAGCCCTTTATAAACTGTAAATGCATAATAAAAAGGTTTGGTTTCACTGTTACTTTAATGATCAAAATTCTCCTTAAAAAATGGGCCTGTCTGGACAATTAGCGGGAGGAAAGTAACTGACATGGCCCGTTGCACAACTAAAAATGTTTTAAAGATACTATGTAAGTAGACAAGGAGTCATCATTCAGGCAATCAGGAGTTAACTTATGAGGCATCCACTTATCTGCTGTGCAGGCACAGGGCATTACACACCCATTACACACCCATTCTGCAAGACAACGTGGCAAAAAACACTGTACCCTTTGACCCACTGGTCAAGTCCCAGGAATCCTGGGATGGAGCCCCACATCAGGCTCCCTGCTCAGTGGGGAGCCTGCTCCTCCCTCTCTTTGCTACTCTGCCTGCTTATGCTCTATGTCTCCACCTCTGTCAAATAAATAAATAAACAAAATCTTTCAAAAAAAAAAAAAAAGGGGGGGGAACTCTATAAGATACATACTGAGTATAAACTTGTAAACATAAATCCCTCAACTGTAAGAAAAACATGGTATATCACCTCCGTAGATGACACGATCATTCAAAATTATGAAGACTGAAAAGAAAGTCCAAAACATGCTACGAAAGAAGATCAGAAAATAAAATTGTATCGGCATTAGGATTCAAAACAAAAATTTTTAAAAATAAAGACAGTTGGGGCATTAGTGTAGAGGGACTAAAATTATATTTTTTCTTTTATTATCTTTACCATAGTTTGAGTAATAAAGCCACATTGATAAGAAAAAACTTCCTTTTCTTAAGCTGGATTTAGGAGAAGGCTAGATATCAGGATGACCCAACCTTATCTGGGGCACCAGGACTTTAGGCCATCCACTTTAAAACGAAATAATATACTCTATTATAAAACATGGTACTTTTAAAGTATTGGTTGTTTTCCAGTAAGGGAATTTTTTTTTCTTTTTCTTTTTTTTTTTAATATTTTATTTATTTATTTGATAGACAGAGATCACAAGTAGGCAGAGAGGCAGGCAGAGAGAGAAAGAAGCAGGCTCCTCGCCGAGCAGAAAGCCGGATGCGGGGCTCGATCCCAGGACCCTGAGACCATGACCCGAGCCGAAAGCAGAGGCTTTAACCCACTGAGCCACCCAGGTGCCCCTCCAGTAAGGGAATTTTTAACAGCAAACCAAATCCAGGATGCTCTCCGAACACCCTCTCGCTGATGGATGTAGAAAAGCAGATCACCTCCACCAGCTGGTTGGAGGCCAGTGCTGGTGGCCCTGATCACCCTCTTGATAGCTGGAGGGGTTCTGATGCTGATCTCTTCCTCTTGCCTCTGTAACATTTTGCTAGAAAGCCTCAGCTGAGTCAAGTGTCCTCCCCACTGTGTTAGGAGTCAGACTGCTGGCAGAAGCAGAGAGACAAAGGGGACTCGCCCTTCACCATGGTCGAGGCTCCAGGGCTAGCCAACACCTATTCGAGCCTTTGCAAGATTCAACACTAAGAAGTCAAGAAGAATTTGCAGTGTTTTTATAAAAATGAAACCAGATGTGTTGTTCTGGGCCTCTGTGATGTTTGTTGTTGTTGTTTATTTTATAATCAAATTTTATTTATTTATTTGTTTTGATATATTGAGCCCCTGGAGATCTTGCCTGTTAACCTCAGGGACGGTGCCATAAGTCTAAGTCTCCAGACACTTGTGGATCAGGTGAGAAAATAATTATTCCAGCTTAAAATGATTATCCTTGAAATGATACAAGATTTCAAAGCTAGGCTTTCCAAGCTGGGTTCCAAATGGACAAGCATGACTCTGATGTAGAAATTCTAATAAAGTAGTGAAAAAGCCAAGGGATGGGGGAAGGAGTAACTTCTGATGGCCCCACAGGAGCGGTCTACTGTCTTGAGCCACCTGCAGCGGAGGTCCACCTGGCTGTTCAGAGCTGGAAGGGGCTCGCCTGCTCATGAACTTCTTGCTGGTCTCTGGCATCCTGGCCCTTGCTGCCAGCTCCCCCAATTCTGATGAGCTGGTTGTGCTTGGCCCAGTTCTGGTAGTCAGTGTCTTGAGCACTCCAGTGCAAAACTCTGCCTCCAGGTTGGCCATGAAAGCATCTGTGTTGTCCCTGAAGTGATGGGAGCCCAACACCCCTCCCACTGGTCTGGAGCAGCTTGCATTCTGGAACAGACCAGGTCACAGAGCCAACCTGCTTCCCTCTACGCAGCAGGTAGTGGCATGATTCTTAATCCACAGCCTTGGCAATTCATTCATTGAGATCACACCATACCACCCAGACACCTGCACTAGCAGTGAACTTCACCCAAGCTTCCCAGTCATCCCGCTCAAAGGGGTCTTTGACAGGCACGAGCAGTCCTTGATGGAGAACTTGTACGGGGCCACCTGCTGGCTGGGGAAGACGCACAGCTGAGATCACCAGGAGACCTAAAGCCCAGGTCACCCTTCCCAGATCTGAAGAAATCAGACAGCCACACCCATGCCAATCACAACCGGGTCTGCAGGTCTGGCTGTCCCAGCCGTACTCTAGAGACTCTGCGGCTTCTTTAATCTCTAGGGTATTAGAAGCAAGGCTCTCCTCATTCCCCTCACTGGTACCAGCATATTTCTCATTAATAATATTCCTCAAGGTTGTGATAAACTTCCACTCCAGTGCTCATGGTTTCCCGAAGTTCACTGCACGGGCCAGGGAGGCCCATCAACCTCTGTACTGTCACCTGACTGCCAGCAGGAGAACTACTGGTGACCACATTAAAACTGTAACTCACGGGGCACCTGGCTGGCTGAGTCAGTAGAGTAGGAGACTCTTGATCCAGGGGTGGTGAGTTCAAGCCCCACGTTGGGCATAGAGACCACTATAAAACAAACAAACAAACTGCAACTCATACGGTGACTTCAGAAATGCCCATCGCGACAACAACGGGACAACACAGGGAGCCCCCTTCTCAGCAGCTCCAGCTGCACACACAGCCAAGGGACACCCTACTGTGGCACCTGTGCCAAATTTAGATTTCGTCTCAGTGCCATTGATCTCTATTGCTGGTTTGTCAACCCTGTCCTAGTTCACAAAGCTCAGTGTCCTGTTACTTGGGGTGGGCCCAGTGGTTTCACTGATACTGTTCCACGGCCTTTGGGACATCTTTACCTATATGTTGAACCTCGTCACTGTCCCAGGGGTCTGAGGCCTCGAAGATACCCCGAGGCACCTCTGGCCTTGGCAGGCGTGAATCACCTTCAGAGAGGAAGGCAGCTACCCTGGGAGAGTGGGAGATTGGTGGGAGATTCCCACAGAGCTGAAGGTCCATCTGGCACAGAGTCTGAAAAGAGCCACGACTCATCTCTTGCTGCCCAAGGAAAGGACAGAGAATACTGCAGGCCCAGCTGGGAGTGCCAACCCCACACGCCCAAGGGCTTCTCCTCCCCCTCCACACCTGAGCTCTTCCCTAGGTCATCGTTCAGATGCCAGGGACCTGACACCCAGGCCCTCGTCCAGGTGCCAGAAGCCAGCAAGTTCCAAGGGGAAAGGACTCGAAGGCATCCTCGGGTGCCAGCCCCTGGTCTCTGTGGGTGAGGAATCAGAGGCCCACATGCCAAAGTTCATGCCTAAGTTCATCCAAGAAACCCAAGTTCACCTGGCTTCAGCTGCCTGTACCCCAGTGCTCTTCACATCACCTCCCTTCCATCTCAACAAGGCCACAGCTAAATGCTGCAGCAGGAAACTAATGCTGGGTCCCCAGACCCCATCCCTCTGAATTTAGTGTTTCCTTGCTGCCCCCAAGGCAGAGATCTGCCTGCCACCTCTCAAACCAAGAGGATAAATATTCTCCTTATGCAAAAAAAACAGCTACGGATGGAGGTGGGGAGACTTCATCTCAACATGGAAACTAGTAATAGGAAGGGCTCCTGGTGGGGCACAGCACAACTGCGAGCAGGTGCTCCTGATCTCTGAGCTGGAAGGAGTTTCAGCTCACGGCGGAAGCATCCGCCTGTCCACGGTCTCCAGAAATGCCTCCAGGAACCCTCGGAGGGCTCATAAAAGGAAACGGCATTACAAGCAAACTTCCAAGAGAAGCATCAAAATGGGAACAGGAACTTGAAACATCTTTTATGGCTTTTAGTCACCCTGTGGTAATATAAAAAGACAAGGGAAGTGTTCCAAATGTAGATCCCTTTTAATTTGCTACAACACTGGCCTTTGCACGTTGTTGGAACTTGGTCCCCTTTCCTCCCTCCACCATCTATGATGTGGAGGACAGGACGAGCTCCACTGCTGGTTGTCACACTGCAACACCTAACTCCCGGGACATTTTGTTCACTAAGATCTCTCTCCCTGCGGTGCAAGCCAGTGCTCGCACCCTGGCCGGGGCGATCGGGTCCATTCAGCACACTACCCTCTGCCTGGGGATGGAGAAATCCCTGTGTCAGCTTTCAGGCAGCTCATTTAATTCACTGAACAAATATTTATGAAGCATCTACAATAGGCCACGATTACTCCTTTCATGACCACAAAGAGCTTTTCTCTCAAAGAATCTGTAATTTAATGTGAGCTAAAGCAAATGCTCATTTCTTTTTCATTTCCTCCCAGCTCAAATGAGAATACAGGCAATGTCCCCTTGATAGCCCTTCGGGCCACCATAATTTCCCCCGAAAGTCCACTCGGCCCATCACGGGATGCTACTGTGGTCTTGTCTAAGCTGTACAACAGGATGCTGGTGTGGTTTTGGCTTAGCTGCCCCAGCTTTCTTGCTTTCTTGTAATTGGACACTAAGCATCCAATTAACCTCTAACACCG